GCCTGTAGTTCCAGCTGCTCAGTAGGCTGAGGCAAGAGAATTGCTTGAGCCCAAGAGTCTGAGGTTGCTGTGAGCTGTGACACCACATCTCTCTACAGGGGGCAAGAATGTGAGACTCTGTCTCAAAAAAATGTATTCATTTGAATTAAAGTATTAATCCCAAGCTGGATGTTGTGGCGGGCACCTGTAGTTCCAGTTACTTGGGAGGCTGAGAGAAGAGAATTGCTTAACCCCAAGAGTTTGAGGTTGCTGTGAGCTGTGACACCATGGTACTCTACCCAGGGTGACAAAGTGAGACTCTGTCTCACAAAAAAAAAAAAAAATTCCTAAATTCTATTTGAAAGTCTGCAGACTTCATTACAAAAACAAACCAAGGGTTGGGCAGCACCTGTGGCTCAGTGAGTATCGTGCTGGCCCCATATACCGAGGGTGGCGGGTTCGAACCTGGCCCAGGCCAAACTGCAGCAAAAAAAATTAGCCAGTGTTATGGCAAGTGCCTGTAGTTCCAGCTACTTGGGAGGCTGAGGCAAGAGAATCGCCTAGGCCCAAGAGCTGGAGGTTGCTGTGACACCACGGTACTCTACTGAGGGCGACAAAGTGAAACTCTGTCTCAAAAAAAACCCCACAAAAACCAATGGGAAGCTGAGGCAGGAGACTCTCTTGGATTCAGGATTTTGAGACTAGCCTGAGAAAAAACAAGACCCTGTCTCTATAAAACAAACAAAAACCCCAAAAAACCAGAAACATTGGCCAGGTATACTGGTGTAAGCCTGTAGTCCCAGCTACTTGGGAGCCTGAGGCAAGAGACTTGCTTGAGCCCAATAGTTTGAGGTCACTCAGCTGTGATGCCATGGCACTCTACCAAGGACAACAAAGTGAAACTCCATCTAAAAAAAAAATAGTTCAGCTTGGTGCCTGTGGCTCAAGTGGCTAAGGCGCCAGTCACATACACCTGAGCTGGCAGGCTCGAATCCAGCTCGGGCCCACCAAACAACAATGACGGCTGCAACCAAAAAATAGACGGGTGTTGTGGTGGGCGCCTGTAGTCTCAGCTACTTGGGAGGCAGAGGCAGGAGAATTGCTTGAGTTCAGGTGTTGGAGATTGCTGTGAGCTGTGATGCTACAGCACTCTACCTAGGGTGACAGCTTGAGGCTCTGTCTCAGAAAAAAAAAAAAAGTTCATCAGGTCCTGTGTCAGTGGCTCATAACTGCAGTCCTAGCACTCTGGGAGGATGAGACAGCAGGATTTCTTGAAGTCAGGAGTTTGAGAGTAGCCTGAGAAAGAACAAGAACCTGTCTGTATAAAAAAACAGAGAAATTGGCTCTGTGCCTGTGGCTCGAGTGACTAAGGCGCTAGCCACATACACCTGAGCTGGTGGGTTCGAATCCAGCCCTGGCTTGCCAAACAACAATGATGGTTGCAACCAAAAAATAGCCGGGCGTTGTGGCGGGCGCCTGTGGTCCCAGCTACTTGGGAGGCGGAGGCAGGAGACTCGCTTGAGCCCAGGAGTTGGAGGTTGCTGTGAGCTGTGATGCCACAGAACTCTACCCAGGGTGACAGCTTGAGGCTCTGCCTCAAAATAAAATAAAAAACCCCCCAACAACAAACAGAAAAATTAGCCAGGCACAGTGGTGTGAGCGTGTAGTCCCAGTTACTCAGGAGGCTGAGAAAGGTGGGTTGCTTAAGCCTAGGAATTTGAGATTACAGTGAGCTGCGGTGATGCCATTGTATGCTAACCCAGGCAACAGAGTGAGACTGTATGTTTAAAAAAAAATTAAAAAACAAATACAAATAGTACATACCAGCATCTGAGCCCTCTTGTCACTATAACCTGCCTAGGGTTACCATTTTCCTGACTTCTGACATTTAATACCATGAATTAGTTCTGGCTTGTTCTCTTAAACGTTATATTTGTGAAACTTGGCCATAATTTTATTTGTAGTTTCAGTTTATTTTTTCTCATTGATATAATGGGTGCTCAATATGTTCTTTTATTTGAATGATTAGTTTTGTAAACAAAATCTAACTATGCTTGTTTCTCTTTTTTATCTTCTAGTTTGTGAAGCCTGGAACTGAGAATTCAAGAGACTACCCTGACTTGGCAAAAGAAGCAGGTAATACAGGACCTTTAGGGCTTTGAACGGTCATAGTTTATTGTGTGGTGTGTCTTAATTCCGTGGATGGAGCAGCATTGTAAGTGCAAAAGGAAGCCCAGACACGGGAACAGAACATGTGTGGAGAATTGCCTCGTGGCTCACTAGAGAGGAGAAAGGGAAAGAGTTTAGCAGCTGTTCAGCCAGGGCAGACAGTGACTTATGATTTTACGTGCTATCCATTTGTTTGTTGGGGTGGTTAAGGCATGTGTAGGAGAGAAAGGTATGGTCGTTAAAAGGAATAGCTTCTTTCTAGTGTATGTTTACCTATGAGATACGACAAAATTAGTGTCTTTTCTAGGAAAAGGGATAATCGCATTCAAAGTGTCTTGCACACCTGCATGGTGATGTTCCTCTCTTCACTGAGCCAACGTGGAGAATTCTGTTTCTATCACTAGGCTGCTGTGTGACTAATGAGGTGATGCGGGTCATTATTGTTTATTCTAATGACTGTTAGTGCTGTTAAGCAAAGGACTTTGGTGAAACTCAAAGGAAAAAGGATCCACATTTGTATCGGTTCATGTTCTCTAAACATAACAGCATTCGTTGGAGATACATGATTGAGCCAGGCTGCAGATGACGGAACTGTGGGTTTCAGTTCCAGCAGACAAGTCCTCTTTCATCCTTCTTTCTTTATCTTTTTCTTTCATTATTATTTATTTATTTATTTTGAGACAGAGTCTCATTATGTTGCCCTCAGTAGAGTGCTGTGGTGTCACAGCTTACAGAACCTCAGACTCTTGGGCTTAAGGGATTCTCTTGACTCAGCCTCCCAACTAGCTGGGACTACAGGCGCCTGTTACAATGCCTGGCTATTTTTTGGTTGTGTTATTATTATTATTATTATTTTCTTGAGACAGAGCCTCAAGCTATCCCCCTGGGTAGAGTGCTGTGACATCACAGCTCACAGCAACCTCCAACTCCTGGGCTCAAGCGAGTCTCCTGTCTCAGCCTCCCAAGTAGCTGGAACTACAGGTGCCCGCCACAACACCCGGCTATTTTTTGGTTGCAGCCATCATTGTTGTTTTGGCAGGCCTGGGCTGGATTCAAACCTGCCACCTTAGGTGTATGTGGCTGGCGACTTAGCCACTTGAGCCACAGACGCTGAGCCTGTATTATTATTTTTTAAGACAGAGTCTCACTTTATTCCCCTTGGTAGAGTGCTGTAGCATCATAGCTCATAGCAACCTCAAACTCCTGGGCTCAATTAATTCTCTTGCCTCTGCCTTCCGAGTAGCTAGGAGTAGAGTGCAGTGGCATGGTAGCTCACCTCAAACTCTTGGGCTCAGCTGATTCTCCTGTCTATGTCTCCTAAATAGCTGGGAGCTTCCATGGCTGCCTAATTTTTCTATTTTCTGTAGAGATGGAGTCTCACTGTTGTTTGGGGTGGACTTGAACTCCTGGCCTTAGTGATCTTCCCACCTCAGCCTCCCAGATTGCTAGGATTGCATGCATCAGCCACTGTGCTTTCTGCAGCATGCTTATTTAAGTTTCTGATTTAACTATTTTATTTATTTTTTTGAGACAGTTTTATATAGTCACCCTCAGTAGAGTGCTGTGGCATCATAGCACACAGCAACCTCTTAACTCCTGGGCTTAGGTGATTATCTTGCCTTAGCCTCCCAAGTAGCCAGGACTACAGGCGCGCACCAGAATGATGCCTGGCTATATGTATATATATATATTGTTGTTGTGTGTTCCTTGGAGCTTCTGATCTGGTGATGCAAGGGAAAGAACTGCAGACGGAATGAATATTCAAGGGAGACCGGGACTCGCTCTGGTCGGCGGCCCCGCTAAACTTTACTGATTATCTTATATACTTTCCAACATTTAGTAAGAATTTAACACATATACAAAGAAGTCAAGTACCATGAAGAAGCAACCATTTAAGATTACAATTTAGTGTGAAGGCTGAGGAACGCATATACAATTGATTTTGTTTAGAGTAAAACATTTTGGAGCCTGGCTGTCGATCCTCGATTGCCCAAGGTAAAGTTACACCTTATAATGCTAATGAAGGAGGAATGCAGAGAATAGAACCCAATGCTCCAAAACCGGTCTTTCCATCCTCCAGCTTATCTCGGCTATTTCTCCACGCCCCCTAGGGAGAGTCACTCTACACATTCCTGCACATCAATAGGCAAGTGTAGAAGCTCAGATCCTCAAGGAGACGCTTCACGGAAACAATCTCCTGAGAGAGCACGTTGAGGCGAACTGCCATGTCTTGAGCAAAAGGATCTTATCCCCTACAATATATATATATATTTTTTGTCACAGCCTCAAGCTGTTGCCCTGGGTAGAGTACTGTGGCTTCACAGCTCACAGCAACCTCCGATTCTATTTTTATTTATTTATTTATTCTGAGACAGAGTCTCAATTTGTCACCCTGGATCCTGGGTAGCATGCCCTGGTGTGACAGTGATACTGGAATTTCGCTCTTCAGTAGGTCCTAGTTCTCGGGGATTTGAAGAATGAACCCACAGACCACAGATCAGTGGTAAGATAGGACTTTTATTAGAAATTAGAAAGGAATACAGAAGAAGTACAAAGCACCAGAACTTTTTGGAAGGGGGAAAGAACTGAAGAACTCTCTCAGGAGTCTCCACGTGGGCTCTTTTCTCTAGGGGTCTGAAGTCTGGAGGATTACACGTGGCTGGCAGTTGGTGGATGGAAAAACATCTTTTCAAAGTTAGTGAGTGCATTAACGAATGAACGAGTGTAATTCCTTCTCCACTGGGGCGAGGTTATCATGTCCTTTACAGTCTTTGTCCCTGAGAAGGGATTAGGGTGTGTGCTCCTCTCCTAGGTGGAACCACCCAAAAAACCATCACAGGCTGCTTTGTTCATGATCTTGTCAGAGCCCAGAGGATGTGTCCCAAAAAAGGCAATATGGTTGTGCCTGGAAATGGGGGTCTGACCTCTGAGCTCACCTGGGCCTAGAGAATGGGGGGCTCCCTGTCTAGCCCTGAGTGGTGGAATCCTCTATCAACAGCTCCCAGGAACCTCAAACTCTTGGGTTTAAGTGATTTTCTTGCCTCAGCCTCCCAAGTAGCTGGGACTACAGACCCTGCCACAATGCCCACCTATGTTTTTTGTTTTTTTGTTTTTTTGAGATAGAGACTCACTTTGTTGCTCTCATTAAAGTGCTGTGTGCTGTGCTGTCACATCTCACAGCAACCTCAAACTCTTGGACTTAAGCAGTTCTCTAGCCTCAGCCTCCCAAGTAGATGGGACTACAGGTGCTCGCCACAACACCCAGCTATTTTTAGAGACAAGTTCTGGCTCTGGCTCAGGCTGCTCTGGAACTTGTGACCTCAGGCAGTCCACCCATCTCAGCCTCCCTGAGTGCTGGGATTACAGGTAAGAGCCACCATGCTGGCCTGTGGGCAACTATTTTCAAGAATGAAGCACCAGGTGTGGTGGCTGGTGGATAGCTTGAGCTCACAGGTTCAAGACCAGTCTGAGCAAAAAAAGAGACCTCCCGACCCACATCTATACTAAAAATAGAAAAAAATGAGGCAAGAGGATCTTGAGCCCAAGAGTTGGAGGTTGCTGTGAGCTATGACTCCACAGCAGTCTACCCAGGGTAACAGTTTGAGAGTCTGTCTCAAAAACAAAACAAAACAAAAGTATCAAGCACATTAAGAGTAAAGTCAGAACCAAATATCTGATGAACACCTTGGGAACTCATTAAGAATTGCAACTGCCCTATGTGGCAGCTCATGCCTATAATCCTAGCACTTGGGAGGCTGAGGCAGGTGGCTTGCATGAGCTTATGAGTTGGAGACCAGCCTGAGCAAGAGTGAGACCCCGTTTCTAAAAAATAGCCAGGCGTTGTGGTGGGTGCCTGTACTCCCATCTTCTTGGGAGGCTGAGGCAAGACAATCTCTTGAGCCCAAGAGTCGAGGTTGCTGTGAACTGTGATGTCATGGCACTTTACCAAGGGTGACATAGTGAGACTCTGTCTGGAAAAAAAAAAAAAAGAAAAGAAAAGAAAATAGAGTGCTGTGTCATCACAGCTCATAGCAACCTCAAACTCTTGTGCTCTAGCGATCCTCTTGCCTCAGCTTCCTGAAGTAGCTGAGACTGCAGGGGCTTGCCACAACACCCAGCTTTTCTTTTTTTTTCTTTGTAGGGATGGAGTCTTTCTCTTATTCAGGCTGGTATTTAACTTCTGAGCTCAAGCAATCCACCTCCCTCAGCATCCCAGAGTGCTAGGATTACAGGCATGAGGGCCTGTGCCTGATAATTCTTTTATTTTTATAATACAAAATATATAAAAAAGAAACCCACACAGATGTTTTATTACTTAAATATGTACATTTTCTATAATAGTGATTGCAACCTTGAGACCTGCTTGATGATTTTCTGAATGGGCTGCTGCGTAATTAGAATTAATATGTTGTGAGGCCTTTTTTGCCTATCTGTGGTGGCAGATCTCATGAAAATTACAGAGGGACCTTAGTGTTTGTGTGTTCATTGTGTGGCTGCAAACAACTCTTCTTCCAGTGTGGCCAACAGAAGCCAAAAGGTTGGACACCCTGCAGGTAGATTTACTTTGAGTAAATGCTAGACTTAATTTTTATTTACCTAAAGCAAACACTTACAGCACTTTCTGATAAAAATTTTGTTTTCATAGGCCAGAAAGCTTTAGCTGATGCACAGATCCCTTATTCAGCAGTGGACCAAGCCTGTATTGGCTACGTTTATGGTATGTGGTAAACTGTGTATTCCAGAAATTTCACCTATATCTAGTAGCAGCTACATGGGCCACACAGGGCACATTGCAGAGGCATTTGCGAATTTTAACCCTCAAAACTGAGAATTCACTCAGCTGCATTGTATTGAAGAAAATACCCCTCAGAATTAAGTCTTATTCCTGCCATTCATTCATTTCCCGTATGTGTCGACCCAGTGTAATTTTTCTTGTCGTTATTATATTGCCAAAGGACGATAAATTTAAAAACACTTGTCATGTTATTAAAAAAACAAAGGAATTACCCATGGTTCTACCATGTAAATATAATTAGTCTTCAGAAGATAAATTGTTGTTCATTGTTATCTTAAAATTTGTATTTATTGGCTTTTTTGTATCTAATAAAACTTTTTTGTTTCCTGAGACAGAGCCTCACTATGTCACCTTCAGTAGAGTGCTGTGACGTCACAGCTCACAGCAACCTTAAACTCTTGGACTTAATCTCTTGCCTCAGCCTCCCAAGTATCTGGGACTAGAGGTGCCCGCCACAATGTCCAGCTATTTTTTTGTTGCAGTTGTCATTTTTGTTTAGCTGGACTTGGTTGGGTTTGAACCCGCCAGCCTCGGTGCATGTAGTTGGTACCATAACCACTGTGTTACAAGTGCCAAGTCCTAATAAAGCTTTTTTTTTTTTCTGAGACAAGAGTCTCAAGCTGTCACCCTGGGTAGAATGCTGTGGCGTCACAGGTCATAGCATCCTCAAACTGTTGGGCTTAAGCGATTCTCTTGCCTCAGCCTCCCAAGTAGCTGGGACTACAGGCACCTGCCACAACGCCCAGCTTTGTTTTTTGTAGTTGTTATTGTTGTTTAGTTGGCCCAGGCTGAGTTTGAACCTGCCAGCTTTTGTATATGTGGCTGGCTCTGTAACCACTGTGCTATGGGTACCGAGCCACACAGTTTTGTTTTATTTTTTTTGGTGGGGGGGGATGGAGTCTTACTCTGTGACTCTGGGTAGAGGGCCATGGCATCAGAGGCTTATAGCACCTCAAACTCTTGGGCTCAGGCAATCCTCTTGCCTCAGTCTCCTGAGTAGCTGGGTCTACTGGCACCCACCATAACACCTGGCTAGTTTTTCTACTTTTAGTAGAGATGGGGTGGGGGTGTGGGGTGGAGTGGTGGTGGTGGTGGTAGTGGTAGTGGAGGTGGAGGGGGCTGTTTGCTTTTTGCTGAGGCTGATCTTGAACTCCTGAGCTCAGGTGATCCACCTGCCTCAGCTTCCCAGAGTGCTAGGTTTACAGGCAAGAGCCTCCGTGCCCAGCTGCCCTCACATGTTGTATGCTAGGCCAAGGCATAATACTAAAAAAACCATGTTGTAGCATTATGTTGCATTGCAGTTCCATGTTGCAGGTACTGAAGTTTTTGTTTTTTCTATTCAGGTGACTCTACCAGTGGGCAGAGGGCTATTTATCACAGTTTGGGACTGACTGGGATTCCTATAATCAATGTCAACAATAACTGTTCTACTGGTTCTACTGCATTGTTTATGGCCCGGCAGCTAATTCAGGGTGGTGAGTAGTGCTTCCTAGTGTACCTAAATAGATTATGGGATTGTTTGCCCCTTTTAATCATTTGTCTACACTTTCATTAAAGGAATTTCTTTCTTTCTTTTGAGACAGTCTTACTTTGTTGTCTTTGGTAGAGTGCGGTGGTGTCACAGCTCACAGCAATCTCAAACTCTTGGGCTTAAGCAATTCTCTTGCCTCAGCCTCCCATGTAGTTGGAACTACAAGCACCGCCACAACACCCAGCTATTTTTTGGTTGTAGTTGTCTTTGTTGTTTGGCCAGCCCGGGCTGGATTCGAACCCACCAGCTCTGGTATATGTGGCTGGTGCCTTAGCCGCTTGAGCTACGGGTGCCAAGCCACTGAAATCCTTATTTTTAAAATATTTATTTACTTATTTACTCACTCACTTGATCACTTATTAACTCGCTCATTCACTTAACGTACTTAAAGAGATTGGGTCTTACTTTGTTGTCAGGTTGGAGTAGCTTCTGTAGACTTGACCTCTTTTTTTTTTCTGAGACAGAGTCTCACTATGTTGCCCTCAGTAGAGTGCTGTGGTGTCACTGCTCACAGCAACCTCAAACTCAGGCTTAAGCAATTCTCTTGGCTCAGACTCCCAACTGGGACTATAGGTGCCTGCCACAATGCCAGGCTATTTTTTTTGTTGTTGCTGTTGTTTGGCAGGCCCAGGTGGGGTTTGAACCCTTCAACCCTGGTGTATGTGGCTGGTACCCTAGCCACTGAGCTATAGGCACTGAGCCAGCCTTGAACTCTTGGGCCCAAGGAGTCCTCCTATCTCAGCCTCCTGAGGTACTATAAGCATAAAAGCTTTATTGAGATATTCACATGCCATAACATTCACCCTTTTAGAGTGTACAGTTAGTGTTTTTTTATATATATAGAGTTGTGCATCTATCACCACTGTCTAATTTTAGAAGGCTTTTTTTATTCACAGACAGAAATCCTATACCTATTAGTAGTTGTTCTTCATTTTCTTCTTCCCTTAGTCCCTGGCAACCACTGATTTACTTTCTTTCTTTGTAGATTTTCCTATTGTGAGTATTTACATAGGTGGAATTCCTAGAATACATCGTCTTTTGTGGTTTCTTTTGCTTAGCATGTTTTCATAGTTCATTCATATTTTAGCACATATCAGTACTTCATTCCTTTTTATGGCCAAATATTATTTCATTGTATTGATATACCCCATTTTTTCTATCTATTCATTAGTTGAGGGACATTGTTGTTTCATCAGTGATGGGTTCTGTCCATTTTTTGGCTATTATGAAAAATGCTGATGGGTGGTGCCTGTGGCTTAGTGGGTAGGGCACTGGCCCCATATACCAAGGGTGGCGGGTTCGAACCCGACCCTGGCCAAACTGGAGCAACAACAGTAACAACAACAAAATAGCCAGGGGTTGTGGTGGGCACCTGTAGACCCAGCTACTTGGGAGGCTGAGGCAAGAGAATCACGTGTGCCCAAGAGTTGGAGGTTGTGGTGAGCTGTGATGCCATAGCACTCTACTGGGGGCAATAAAGTGAGACTCTGTCTCTGTAAAAAAAAAAGAAAAGTGCTGATATGAACATTTGTATAACATTTCTTTTGTGGCTGTATGTTTTCAGTTCTTTTTAATCTACATCAAATCCTATATTTTCATATATTCCATTTTAAGTAATTAAGCCCTTAACTGTGTTTCAGTGATTTGACTGTTGATTACTGCTTCACTACCTAGTGTTTCAATTATTGAAGTTTGATAATGCTAGTGTTTTAATCCATTTTGATTGGGATCCTTTTTAATTTGAATCGTAAAAGGTTTTAAAATTCTGTTTTTTCTTTTTTCCTTTTTTTTGAGACAGAATCTCACTTTGTTGCCCTTGTTAGAGTGTGTGGTGTCACAACTCATAGCAACTTCAAACTCCTGGGCTCACGTGGTGCCTTGCCTCAGCCTCCTTAGTACCTGGAATGACAGGTACCTGCCACAATGCCTGGCTATTTTTAGAGACAAGGACTTGTTCTTGCTCAAGCTGGTCCTGAACTCATGAGCTCAGGCAATCCACCCATCTCGGCCTCCCTAAAATTCTGAATTAGTATTTTTTATTTGTTCTTCACTGAAACATATTTCCACATTAATCAAATTTTTTTTACCCTAGACAAAGGACTCTAGAAATTTTTTTTCTGACTCGGGTCTTCCCCTTTGCCAGAAGCTCTGGTGCTTTTTTACTCCTTCTGTATTCCTTTCTGTCTAACAAAGTTTTATCTTACAGCTAAAGAAAAAAAAATTTGGCTTGGCGCCTGTGGCTCAAGTGGCTAAGGCACCAGCCACATACACCTAAGGTGGCAGGTTTAAATCCAGCCTGGGCCCGCCAAACAACAATGATGGCTGCAAATAAAAAATAGCCCGGCGTTGTGGCGGGTGCCTGTGGCCAAGTAGCACCCAGCTACTTGGGAGGCGGAGGCAGGAGACTCGCTTGAGCCCAGGAGTTGGAGGTTGTTGTGAGCTGTGATGCCAAGGCACTCTACCCAGGGGAATAGCCTGAGGCTCTGTCTCAAAAAGAAAAGAAAAAAATTTAAAATTTAACATGTTGCAACTCAAGGGAAGAACTAAGCCACTTTCTTTCTTTTTTTTTTTTTCTTCAGAGACAGAGTCTCACTTTATCACCCTTGGTAGAGTGCTGTGGTTCTACAGCTCACAGCAACCTCCAGCTCTTGAGCTTATGCAATTTTCTTGCCTCAGCCTCCTGAGTAGCTGGGACTACACGTGCCCACCACAATGCCTGGATATTTTCTTTTTTTTTTTTGTGGTTTGTCTGGGGCTAGGTTTGAACCTGCCACCCTCAGTATATGGGGCCAGCGCTCTACTCACTGAGCCACAGGAGCTGCCCTTCAGCCACTCTCTTAATTTTTCTTCCTATGTGGAAGTATGTGAGTTTTCTTTGTGAGTTTTCCATTTCAAAAAAAATTTTCTTTTTTTTTTTTTGCAGTTTTGGCTGGGTCCAGGTTTGAACCTGCCACCTCCTTTGACCCACAGGTACCACCCCAAATTTTCTTCTTTTTGAGACAGAGTTTTATTTTGTCACCCTTGGTAGGAGTGCTGTGGTGTCGTAGCTCACAGCAACCTCCAACTCTTGGGCTCAAGCATTTCTCTTGCCTCAGGCTCCTGAGTAGCTGGGACTACAGGCGCCTGCCCCAGTGCTCAGTTATTTTTAGAGACAAGGTTTCGCTCTTGCTCAGGCTGGTCTCAAACATCTGAGCTCTGGGTAATCCACCCACCTTGGCCTCCCAGAGTGCTAGGATTACACCATTCCTCGACTTATTTGAAAATTTTTTTAGAATTATAGTATGTTTTTGCACTTTTTATAAAGTGTCATTTATTTCTTTATTTTGTTATTTTTAGTATTTTGTACAATTTTTTTAAAGTTTATTGCCCTCTGTAGAGTGCTGTGGCATCACAGCTCACAGCAATCTCCAACTCCAGGGCTTTGGCGATTCTCTTGCCTCAGCCTCCCTAGTAGCTGGGGCTACAGGTGCCCGCCACAATACCCAGCTATTTTTTGTTGCAGTTTGGCCAGGGCCGGGTTTGAACCTGCCACCCTTGGTATGTGGGGCCGGCGCTCTACTTACTGAGCCACAGGCGCTGCCCTATTTTGTACAATTTAATAAATAGTTCTTATAATGACTGTAGACATGTAAGGCTATTTGGTAGCATTCAGAAACAGCACAATAGTGGTGGTTTTCTCAGTTGGGGTGTAATCTTCAATAAGAAGTTACTTGTGGCTCAGCGCCTATAGCTCAACCGGCTAAGGCGCCAGCCACGTACACCTAAGGT